GAGCATCGGTGTTTGCCACCACAGGCGGCTGAAGCTCTGCATCTAATCGTCTGAACCCGACCAGTAGAACTCACAAACATGCCATAAAGCTTCAATTCCACAATTTCGTTTAGCAGACGCTTTTATCCAAAGCGAATCCTAGTAAAGACAAAAATGAAAGTTCTTTGATCAAAAAATAAAATAAAATGGAATCAGCATGTACATTTTTCAAGTACCTACAGGTGTTACCAATACTGGGATTAAATGGTGGCTCTACATATTGTAGATTTACATTTTTAGTTCATTTCCTGACTTGTCTTCTGTTTAAACACGTCCTGCAGTTCAGCTGAATATTGGTCACATGACTGTTGTGAGTCAGTCACGGCTTGTTAGTTGCCCTAAGGAGCGCAGAATACCTTCTATTTTTACAGAATCTGGTTATTATAAACCATTTATTCTTGGTGAATGAAGAAAAATTGAGATTTTGATTATTTAAAAAAAAAAAACCTTCCCTTTTTTAGTTCCTGTTACTTTCTCAAAAGTCTTATAATATTAGTTTAAAAACCATCTAAAAGTAAAAAAATATGGTGATTTTTGAATGTTTTTACAGTTTTTGAATCTAATAAATGGTGTGCGGCAATATCTTTTTAAAAGCATAACATGCCTTTCGTAGCGTGAACAGACAGAGCCGATCTTCTCACTTGCATCTCGACCATTGCCTGTTTCCCAGAATCATCCTTAAACATCCCACTTTGGTCAGTACAGCCACATGACTAACGTACAACTTTTTGTCTGCCTGTGTTTATCCATCTGTCCTCCAGGCCCAAGCACTTCATCTCAGCAGCAACTTGAAAACAGCCAGGGGAGCTCACAAGCAGCTACTCCTCCTCCACAAACTTCATCCGCCGACTCCTCCTCCTCCTCCTCCTCTTCCTCCTCCTCCTCCTCCTCCTCACTCCACTCTGCCAACCTGTCACCACAAGTCTCCCCTGGCTCTCAAATTTCCGATGTACCTTCGAACAGTCCACAGGTGGAAGGGTGCAGCCCGGCCAGTAGTTCAGCGCCACAATCTGACCCTCAGGGAAGCTCCACAGGAGGCGAGGAGGAGCCGGTGCAGGTGGAAGAGGTGAAGGAGGCCAAGAGCAACAAAAAACATCTTCACTGTCCTACATGCAAAGTGACGGTCAATTCCAGCTCCCAGCTGGAGGCTCATTGTAGCGGTATGTACTTTATCTCTTGAGTTTTTTCACTGTTTTAATCTGTACTGCTTTACAATTCTGACATCTGTTTGTCCGAATCAGGCTCTAAGCACAAACAGATGCTGGACGGTCAGAACAGCAGCCAGTCGCAACGCAGGGTCAAGATTACATCATCGCCCAGACCGGCCTGTCGAATTAAGCAGCGGATGGGCAGCAAGACCAGAGCGGTTGTTCGTGTAACCAACCAGCCCTTTCACTGTGAACTGTGCCAGGTGTCCGTCAACTCAGAGACGCAGCTGAAACAGGTATATTGTTTTATCCTATTAGTATATTTGGATAATTTCACCACTGATCACCGTCTAGAAACTAAAAATGCAGACAGCCTAACCTTTGTTTCCTACAAGGTAGCTTATCCCATTTGTTTGCTTTGTTAGTCAGAGCTGTCTCGAGTGAATCACTGTATATCCCTGTCCTCTTTTAGCACATGAACAGCAGGAGACACAAAGAGCGTTTGGCTGGGAAGCCTGTCAAAGCGAAGTTCACTCCCTATAATAAACTACAACCCAATGCTGTCTTAGCGGTGAGAATCACACACACACACACACAGATACATGCAATTGTCTACTTTTGTTTTTGTCCACATTGCACATGGTCATTAAAGAACACAAACAATACATGCACCAACCCGACAGATGCAAATGAAAAGCTGTCCCTTGCACCTGTCGGCATATTCACAAGTCTGATGGCTGCCAAGAGGCTGATGCATAAAGCTGCAAAGTGTTTTAATTTATGTGAAATCTCTGTGCTATGTTTTAGAATTAGCGCCTTGTTATAATTTAGGATCTAAGAGCCCACAGAATAAAGCTGATTAGAGTTTGTTAGTGGAAGTTTTCACTGTAAGTAAAAAATGAGCAGCTCTTCTATGATAATTAAGAGTGATGGAATCTATCTAATGTGAGTACACTACAGCTGGTGCATTTATGAGGGACTGGAGATGATTCCTGACACCTCTTAGAACTCTCATGTATTTAGTCCTGGAAGTGGCAAGGCGGTGTTGGTGACTTGGTCTGGTTCAGACTGAAACATCTCTGCCACTACTGGACTGATTACTATGAAAGTTTGTCCAGCCGGTCATGATCCCCAGAAGATGAATCTTAATCACTAAGCCTGTAACTTTTCCTCCAGTGCCACCATCAGGTCACAGTTTAAATGTGTCCAGCTATGACACAAGCATCTGCAGACATAATGACATTCCCATCTATGCTAACTGCTAAGCTAACAGTGAATATGGTAAACGTTGAGCTGTTTGAACATGACTATGCATTGTTATTGTGTTAAATTATAGCCTTACAAAGCCACTAGCGACTGAATATTTCTTTGTTTTCAGACTAAACTGGCCTTGCAGAAGCAGCTGTCCAAGGCCCTGCCGGCAGGGTTCCTGACCAGCCCCCTCAATCCAGCTGCCTTGTGCACCATGGCGTCTGGACCACTGGCACTACGGCTGCCTCCAGGCCCCACAGCCATCATCCAGGGTCCACTGATCAGCCCCACGCTCTTCAGGCCTGCCCCAGGACCTCTGAGGGCCACACATGCACCTATTATCTTCTCTCCATACTAGCAATGAGCCCGAGGCTGGAGGACCCACAGCGGAGTGGGCCCAGCCTAGCCGAAGCCGGACTAGCAGAAGAGGTTGGCTGCTGAGGACAAATCACAGGACCCCTTGAGTGACACCAGGACACTATGCAGTGACAGTGAGGGCAGCGTATCAGCATGTCAAGTTTGACAGGTTCAAGTCATATGAACACGACGCACAATCCCCTGGTGTGGATTGAGATTCCAGCGCTGACTGAGCAGCGTGTCACCCGTCGCTCAGCTGTTTCCTCTCAGCAAACTGCTGAGTGCATGTTCCCTGGGGTCTGGACCCCTCTGGAAGCCATAATAACGAGCATCTTCTAGTTTTATTTATAAGACAATAATAAACTAATACACTAGGGTGTTTAAATGTTATTAAGTGTTTGTTGCCAAAAAAAAAATTTCTTTCATTTTGAGAGCTTTCTAGTTGTATTCTTGGAAGACGAGGAAAAACCCGTCGTCCCTTCTTTAGTTTTCAGAACCAACTTGTGTTAATCTCCCGTAAAACTGGCCTCCACCTGTGAAAAAGACTATGAAGGTCCTTAACTTTGTATTTTTGAGCTTACTGTATCTGAAGAAGACGTTAAATCTTTACAGCCATGACGTGGATTCCTTTGGTTTGTCATATATTTTACATAAATCCATTGATTTTGTTCCTCTGTCGGTTCCCCTGTCTTTTTCTCTTGCTCTCTGTGTAATGAGGTGACAATCAAGCATTGCTCTGACATGAATGAAGACTTACTATATGGAAATAGAATACATCTAATGAGATATAATAGAGTCATACTTTTAAAAACCTGTATTTCTTTGACATCAGACATTATAATATGTTTATCAGGTGATGCTAGATAGAGTAATAGGGGATAGCGCTTTACTTTAAGTCACCTGAGCAGTATATAAACATGTAATAAATGGTTTATAGCACACATCAATCTAACTTTATTGACAATTATAGTTCATACAGAGAAAAGTAATGAAAATATAGTAAAACACAGATGTAATAATATAAAATGTCTTCACAGGACAAGTCAGAATTTAAAATGTTCTATCTGCCTTAAGCTTAACAACATTATTGTCATGTTTGTATGCTGCTTAGAAAAGCTAAATAGAGGGACTTAAAGTAAAGTGTTTCCAGTACGGTAAGATTACGAAACAGCTTGATGCTGTTTGTGCAATATGAAGACACAGGTTGATGTGTGCTGCTCATCAACATCGATACACTTTTAAATGTGTCTTTCACATCATTAGAACTGCTATTTTTTTTTTTATAGTGTGTAATAAAAACAACGTTCCTTCATGATAGAAATCTCTCTCTCCCACATGGCCGTGCTGAATCACCCTAAGCAATATGTACTTTTGAAGTGTCACCTGGTAAAATTAATGACTAGTGTAACTGTGCATCAATTGCAATAATGTAAATTAATATGTGGTAAAAATGTTGATACTGTATTCTAAATGAACTTATAAATATTCCTGGTTTTTACGTTGTTGTGGTTGTTTTTCCTTCTCGTGGACGTGCGTTGTTATTGTTTTTTAGAGTCTCTTAAAAACACTTTTACATATTTATGTAGTACTTGTGTATTTATTCTGGAGCTGAGCGAGCACGTTTTCGGCGTACAGCTTCCAGTAGGAACTGAACTTACATGTGTGTTGGATCACTGAGCTGCTGTGGATTTGAAAACACCAACATATACACAAGCAAAGGCACACTTACCGTCAATCTTCAGCCAGACTGTGGTGTTTAAGTAGGAAAAAACACCACTAAAGAGGAAGTCAGTGTTAATTTGTCTCTAAGGGCAGCATGTACTTTATGATACTGTAGCGCCCTCGAGTGGTATTCTGCAAAATGAATGCAAGAAGAGGTAACCCAAAAGTGTGTTTGAGACCGGCAGAGAGATGTTTGTGCTGGTTCCTGCAGGTATTCATGTTTATGACTCAAATAAAAAAAATTGAAATTATATTAGTTATCATGCTTTTCAGAATAATGACAGTTTAAAGAGTAGAAATGGCAGCTAAATCTCTTCACTACTGATCCACAAACCTTACTCTAAATCATCGTTTGTGTATTTTGGGAGACTTATCTTTTATAGCCTTAAGGTTATTTTGTGAAACCTTTAGAGAACGTTTCCTGAGAGTTCTTTGAAGGTAAATTGTTAGGTTCTACGAAAAAAAAAACCTTTGGTTCCCTTTATGTTTGTGAAACATTCTCTGAGGGCTATTTTGTGAATGTTTGTATAACATTCTCTTACAATACACATCCTTATGTAATTCTATATTAAAATCAATAGATAACATCTATTGTCTTGGGGTTATGGACTCCTCTCCCCACCGTCGTCTTTGAAGCTGGCTACCAAACACTGCTGCAGGAGAGCATGGGGTCTAAAGGTAAAATAAGGTAAAGTACAGTAGAATTTAAATAAACCCAAAGGAAGTTCTTGTGCCAGGTATTGGTCAGAAAAAAAAATATTAAAAATTACATAGCATGAGAATAAATGCAATGCCTTATACAAAGACAATAAGATAGAAATATGATACATTACTTAATACATAATAAGTAGGCTAAAATAAGACTGAAATAGAAAAGTATGTAATATCCCACACGTTAATAAAATACTGCACATGCAATTGAATTATTGCAATATTATGAAAATGATTTTGCACAAACTATTGAGGAAGCAATATTGAAAATGACATTGATATTATTCAGATTGAGGTGTCCTACTTTCAGCTGTCCTCCCTGTAGAAGAAGGAGGAGTTCTACAATTTGAGACTTGTCTATTGTTCTAGGAACATTTTCTGAAGGTTCCCTTAATATTTCACAAAAAAAAAATACAATAAAATTCGGGAAATGTTCCCTGAAGGTATCATGATGTTCCCTGGAGGTTACTTTGTGACACCTTCAGGGAACGTTACCTGAAGGTTCTAGAAAAATAATTAATTTAAAATAAATAAATAAATAAATAAATAAAAAATAACCATCAGTGAGTGTTCCCTGAAAATTATATTTGTAGAACCTTGAGGTAACGGTTCAGGGAACCTTCAGGGAACGCTCTCCAAAGGGTTAGCTGGGTTGTTTTCTGGGCAGGCTTCTGGTAACATTTTTGTCTCATATTTGCATAAATAAAATGTAAAATTTCTAGGCTTTAGAAACACCCGTATAACACACGGCCTGCTTTGTGAAGTTACGTAAAATTTGCGCCGTATTTGTCCCGTTAACGGGTCTTTTCGCAGTGGCCTACTTTCTACTGACCTAAAAACCACAAACCCTTCACGGAAATGACGTCAAACCGTGGTCGTCCTTTCCAGAAAAAATGGCAGCTGTTGACATCGACATGCCGGTGGAAACAGAGCCGCAGATCCGCAACCAGGATGACCTGGAACGGTAAACATATGTCTTTTGGTTGTGTTTCGTGTTGTTTCGTTAGTAGCGTATAAATAACCCGCCTGGATTCAACGGGAGAGCTGACAAAGCTCGAAGACAACAGTGCGCTCACTCCGGACATAAGCTAACCGAGCTAGCTCGCCGTGAGCTCTTTTTTTGGAAATCTCACATTTTATCGCCTGTCGAAAGTTTCAGGCGCTGTAGCTATCGTAGTTTCGACTTTTCGGGTTAGAGGTCAAATACCACACTCCTCAAATCAGCTGACAAAACAGATATTAGCTAGCGCCTGTTCGTGAGGAGAAATAAGCCGGGTGAATTTTGGCGTTATGGCACATGGTTAGCTACAGAAACCCGAGAATTAATGTATTCGGGGAGTCGTTTTTTTTCTTTGTGAAGCCGTTCGTTCACATACTTTCACATTTTAACGTGGGAATTAAAGCTACGTGTTTGACAACCAACAGTCAAGTGTTTTCCTCTTTCGAGAATGTTCCGCAGCAGTCAGGCAGGCAGTCAGCTAGCTTCAGCTACAGCCGTGAGCGCAAAGTTACAGGGACGGTCCAACTTTACGAGCTTCCTGAAGCATCTGAAACGCATTTGTTATTATAAACCCTCACCCGAAACCCAAACCCCAATAAATCTGATGTGACAGCGTCGTTTTGTGGAGCCAAAGCTAATTAACAAACAGCTTTCTTAAGTGTTAGCTCGTGCTAATTTACTTGTCCGGATAACAATCAAGGTAGGAAGTCAACAGTGACGCTTTGCATTCATCCATGTGGCCCGAGTTGCATTTCATGGGAAACGTGACGTAACACATTTGGATCAAGTGGAAACAGATTTTTATTATACTTTAAAGTGTTTAAATGATGTCTGCAAATTAATCCCAATTATTATGGGCCCTTATTAGACACAGACAACACTACGTGTGACAGATAAAAGACTAGATTTCATTTCCCTCTTGCATTAGAACAACACAAGGTGACAGAATATGTGCAAAGGACGGTTCAAAGTGTATCATGCTGTCTGTCTGCACCAAACAGAGCTGAGCAGGAAACTTAACGAGCTTAAGCAGCTGCTGTCGGTGTAACTCTCAGCAGAATTATGTGGATTTTCATGTGCACCTAAAGCCATCTGTATTGGTAGCGAATGTTTCTTAAGCCTGGGATAAACTGGACAGAACATGATCAAACTGAGCAACCAGATGTTTTAGGGGTTTTAAACACAAATGGCATCTTTGCAAGTGTCATTTGATTGTCACTGAGGTTATTTACTTTTACTTGACATAAGTAAAGTACTTTGGGCGCTTTTTCTGTTTGCGGCTTAAACCTGAATTGCTGCGATCCGTGGCTTTAATTAAAGATAAACAGGCACTGTTGGATTATAATACATCAGCAGAGCATCTCCAGAGAGACGTACACACAGTTAGAGTATCACATCAAATATTTGACAACAAACTGAAAGCATCTCACTAATTCAACAGTTATTTCCATAACCAATGTAAAGGAGTCGCTTTGCCCTCTGGTTTGCAGATAGAAGATAGACGTCTGTCATTGTTGTTGATTTATTTTAGACTAAATGATGGATCAGTTTGTCTGAATACTAAAATGCATGCAGTAGATGAAAGAGTTTATGGATGTTGTGGCTTTAATGCTTAATAATGTTAAAGAATTCTGAAATTTTGCCTCCACCTTTAATTAATTGATTAGTGCAATAACAGATAAGAAAATTAGCAGCTGTGTAATAGCCAGCTAATTATTACAGTCATTTACTCAGCAGAAATAAAGAAAAAGACATTTGAAGATGACATCTCTGACGTTTGGAATTTGACTTCGCTGTTTTAATTTGAAGAAATATTTGGCAGGTTAATTGATGCTAAAAATAATAATTCGTTTCTAAGTTAGCACTAGTTGTGTGTGACTTTTACATTTGAGGGACAATTTAATTCGCTACAGAAATTGTATGTTGATATCCGTGTAGTTTGCGTGGTTCAGTTTGTTGTGTTTTTTTGGGTCAGTTGTGTTAGACAGCATCTTGAATTGTGTCAACAACACATGCTGCAACACAGCACTCATTTACATCAACCACTGACTCCTACCTGGACGGGTTCTGGCTGGCCTTGGTAATTTCTATTAGACCTCAACTCAAAACTGCTACAGAAAATTTGCTGCCATATGCTCAAGAGCAACACGGCGACAGCTTCTTCTTCCTCATGTGAATCAGCGTTGATTTATCCTTTTACACTTGGCACTTCTGACAGGACTGCAGCAGGTGAATTTCACTTCTATGTTTAGTACGGGAGCTATCAGGAGTCAGGACTGCGTGTACCCTGCTCTGCTGTCCCAGTTCCAGGTGAAACACTCCAGTTAATTCCTTGCAGACACTCGTACTCTGACCCATCTGCAAGAAATTCCCGAAATAATTGCAAACGGTTCAAATCAAGTTCATTCTGAGGGTTACAGATGAGTATTTCAGTCATCTGTGTAACATACAACATAAAAAGGCTATGTTGCTGCTTGTTTTTATGACGGGCTTTCGCGATGTAGTAAGTGTTTAAAGAGCAAGAGCCAGTTGCCCAACTTCTGAAGGGTATTCATTGTTTGTTTGTTTGTTTTTTAGTTGACTGTTTTATCAAATTGTTTTGTTTCTTTCAAGTTAAGTACAAATGCCATTTTGACTTTGGTTTCTGTTTCATCTGTCTCCAGTCAGGCCGAAGGCTTCAAAGAGCAAGGAAACGCGTTCTACAGCAAGAAGGATTACTCAGAGGCTTTCAACTATTACACAAAGGCCATTGGTGAGATTACGCTGTTGGTGGAATTAAGTTTTTTACTAGGGTTGGGTGATCGTAAACACCTATAGTCACCCACCCATTCTTTCCTCATACTGTCCTGTTGAGAAATGCTGAATTGCACATTCTGACTTGGAGTTGCACACCTCATCCAGAGCGTTTCCACTAATATGTTATGCTGTATGTAGCGCTATCATACACTTGTTTAGATCAGTAAAACAAGTCCTGTGGAGTCGACCCTTTTTCTGGTGATGTTCCCTCACTGTCACTTTATCAGGAACACATGTCAGTAGCCTTAGATGAAGCTGTCCTTGCAATAAATCTCTCGTTAATGCCAATGCGGCTCTACTGTTGGCAGGCTCAGATGTTGAGCTCTAATGTGGCTATGTGTCTGTTTGTCTGTGTGATATTGATTTTTTTTCTTAAATCTAGACGCATCCCCCAGAAATGCCAGCTATTATGGAAACAGGGCGGCCACCCTCATGATGCTCTGTCGCTTTCGAGAGGCCCTAGAAGATTCCCAGCAGGCTGTGCGTCTGGATGACTGTTTCATGAAGGTCAGTTTGAACAGACTGCACGCGCCACAACATGATCTTTTCCTTTTTGTCTTTGCACGCGACAAAACTCCAGTTGCACCTGATCAATGTAAATCTGTCTCACAGGGGCATCTACGTGAAGGAAAGTGCCACCTGTCTTTGGGAAATGCCATGGCGGCAAGTCGCTGCTTTCAGAAGGTTCTGGAGCTGGAGCCCAGCAACAGAGAAGCTCAGCAGGAGGTGGGCTACACGGACAAGCATTTAATTATGCTACACACCGAGCAAAACTTAACAGTCTTAACGTACAGTCATCAGTTTCTTTTCAGAGATGGCCCTCATGACTGAATGCTGTTTTTTTGTTTGTTTTTTTTAAGAATAAGAATGCAACAACGCTGCTGGAGTACGAGAAAATGGCAGATTTCGGCTTTGAAAAGCGGGATTTCAGAAAGGTACTTTTTTTTCTTCATTAAATCCACAACTAGTTCTGCAGCATCAGAGTTTTAATTTGAGTCTTGACTAGGAAGATTTTAGATTATTTCTTTTTTTTAAAAGTACTTCTATGACCAAGTGATTAGAACTGGATCATTAGTTTGTCATAAGTACCTAATATAAGAGACACAATACAAGTGCACAAGTAACGTTTTGTCAGATTTTTCAGTTATATGCTTGGTGAGTTGAAATCAGCTATGAATGTAACTGGGAGTGTTACTTGGTGAGTTTCTTCAGTGGTTGTCAGCTTAACTTCATGAACCTTCTGTTTGCCTTTGAACAGCTTGTTTGACTGGACGGGCGACATAGTTAAAAATATTCTTTTACAAAGCTCCATATATTTGTGATCATCGTTGAATGTCTGAATGCAATGACTGAGTCTAAATGTTGTATTTTGCTCTTGTCCCAATCCAGGTGGTGTACTGTATGGACCGGGCCTTGGCTTTGGCTTCTGCCTGCCATCGCTTCAAAATCCTGAAGGCAGAGTGTCTTGCTTTACTGGGACGCTATCCTGAAGCTCAGTCTGTTGCAAGGTAGGAGCAGTTAAGCCTTTAAATGGAGGATTTTTCTCTTCTTTCACTCTTTAATATGAGCTCAGGATCTGTTTTAAGAAGGGAGAATTTGATCTTTAAACAGAACTTCCTTTCAACAGTGACATCCTGCGTATGGACTCCACAAATGCCGACGCGCTGTACGTTCGAGGACTGTGTCTTTACTACGAAGACTGCATCGACAAAGCAGTACAGTTCTTTGTCCAGGCTCTGCGCATGGCACCTGATCATGAAAAGGCGCGGTTAGCCTGCAGGGTAAGTTTTTCCTTTTGTGTTTTTATTCCACTGATGTAGTCTTTACAAATTGAGAGAGACGGATTAGTATGGGGATTTTTTTTTTCATGTGTGTAAAATATGAAACAACTATGTATACAAGGTAAAACAACCTAGACTGCAGGCAAATCCCACTACAGGTTGTAGTGTTGTCTATATAGAATGATGCATTTTTTCTGATTTCTATGTCTTAGTATTAGCAGAGTGTTGCAATTGCTCAGTTGTTGTGGCGTAATACAAAGTCTAAAGGCTACACTCACTGAGGGACAAGTTCAGACAGCTATATGTAAAGGTACCCTACAGACTTTTTGATCACTGCTAGCGCTACAGAGCATTGTCTTTGTTGGTACTTATACACATGTACATGGATGACACAATACACATATTTTCCTGTCATTTCGTATTAGTTGGTTGAAAGATGGTGTTGTTTGATAAAAGTTTAAAAGTGTGCGCGCAAAGACAAAAGACTGATCCCAGTTTAAAACATTCAGAAAGGTGGCTTTACAATTTACGATAAACGTGACATGGCTGCATGGTGGTTTGGTGGTTAGCACCGTTGCCTTGCAGCTAGAAGGTCGCCGGTTCACATCCTGGTGAGGACACCCGGGATCTTTCTGCGTTCTCCCCGTGCAGTGTAGGTTCCTAAAAACATGTTGAGGTTAATTGGTGATCCTAAATTGTCCGTAGGTGTGAATGAAAGTGTGCTTGGTTGTCTGTCTCTAAGTGTAGGCCTGTAATAGACTGGTTACCTGTCCCAAGTCAGCTGGGATAGGCTGCAGCCCCCCATGACCCTGTGAGGATCAAGCGCTGTATAGATGATGGATGCATTTGACATGTTTGTTACACTTCAAATATACAAACAGTGTGCTATGGAGAAAGAATATAAATGGTGTTCCACAGGGTACCTTTTAGAAATGCTAAAAAAAATGGATAGAACAATGTCCTTTGTTCTTAGAGTTCCCACGTGGCAAGGTAGCTTAATGCAGTTAATCCATGATTCAGGATGTGCTAAAATATCTAGCGTACCTTTTACGTGGCTTACATTTCACTCTATGATTCAGTAAATATTTTAAGAGGAACATGAGTATTTGTTCTCTTCCTAAACCAGAATGCCAAAGCCTTAAAAGCCAAGAAAGACGAGGGCAACCAGGCATTTAAGAGCTGCAGCTATGAAGCCGCCTACCAGCTGTACACTGAGGCGCTGACGATAGACCCCAACAACATCAAGACCAACGCTAAACTCTACTGCAACAGAGCCACGGCAGGAGCAAAGGTAAGAAGGCAACAAAGCAACTCAAGATCTGTACTTAATTATACCAAAGCCTGGCACAGTTTGGGAAGTCACAGCACATTGGAACACTGGCAGCTGTGTGGAAGGCGGTAACGCACACTTGATCAATAATACGGTCTGATTATTTGCGTAAAAATAGCAACCTTGCTTTGTGCTCAGACTCTTCTGGCTCCTTTTTGCCTGTCAGTTCACTGTCATTATCCTCTTAACAGCTGAAGAAACTTAATCAAGCCATCGACGACTGTACCAGTGCAATCAAACTAGATGACACTTACATCAAGGCCTACTTAAGAAGAGCTCAGTGGTATGTTCCACAGTCGTATAGAGTGAATTCTTCCTACTTTGTGTCTTTTGTTGTTTAGCATAGTGTGGTTTTTGAGTGACTTTGTGTGACCCATAGTTACATGGACACAGAGCAGTATGAAGAGGCTGTACGGGACTATGAAAAAGTTTACCAGACAGAAAAAACCTCAGGTAAGCTCTTCTGGTTTGGCTCATGTTTACTTTTCTTAACCGACATGTTGGGCGATCGGGTTCTCACACACATTGTTTGCATTTTTCTTTCCCTCCAGATCACAAGCATCTGCTGAAGACGGCACAGATGGAGCTGAAGAAGAGCAAACGGAAAGATTATTACAAGGTGCTCGGAGTCGGCAAGAACGCCACAGAGGACGAGATCAAGAAAGCGTACCGCAAGCGGGCCCTCATGCACCACCCAGGTATCCATTTTGGTCTTCACACGCCCAAGACCAGCCAGTTACTCATCAAGTATTTGTTCTAAATGGCCTCTGTTGTCGTTATGTCGCAGACCGCCACAGTGCAGCGACTCCAGAGGTGCAGAAGGAGGAGGAAAAGAAATTCAAGGAAGTGGGCGAGGCCTTCACCGTCCTCTCTGACCCGAAGAAGAAGATCCGCTATGACAACGGGCACGACCTGGAAGATGACGGCTGCTTTGATGGTGGAGGTAAACACTTTTAGTTTATTCTTTTCTTTGCTGGATTTACATTCTGGATTTACTGCTTTAAGCTTTTCAGACATACATTCTTTAAATACATGTTTTACTATTGAGTCAGCAAATAGGTGCTTGTAGAGAAGAGAATGAACCTTAATTGATGGCCTTTTCCATAGAGGACATTTTGATGTGTCATTGGGGAAAAGACACTGGTGTAAATATTAACTTGAATAATATTTTAATTTGATTTAAGCCAGTGTTTATACTGACTCAGTGGAAGCTGGAATACTGACGAGATGAAAGCCGTAGTTAATACCAGTAGTTACACCTGTGCTTTTCCTGCTGAGACAAGTCAAAATATCTGCTCTCAACAAGGTCTTAAACAGCCATTAAAAGCTAATTGTGTGAAGAAAGAGACCAAAAAGATTTAGGTTTCAGTCCTCAGTGACAGATAAGTTTATTCATGCAACAAAAGAAGTGAGATGAAGATTTCACAGTGTTCACATTTAAAAAGTTCAAAAATGTTTCAAAGCAAAATTAATTCTAATAAAGCTGCTTAAAATTTTCTATTTTACGTAAACTTTCTAAAACTAAGACAGCACAATTTTAAAACAACTTAATGAATGAGTAATACAAAATAATTAAAACAAAATGAATAAAGGCTTAGTTTTATTTAGAGAATGTGGTTTCAGACTTTGGGCATTTCTTGGTTTGCGAGCTGTCACACTGCCCTGTACGTTCAGGAGAGCAGAGCCAAATGCTTTTCTTACCATGACAAGGCAAAATGTCTACTTGTGGTAAAAGGCCTGTCATAACCGAAAGTGGTTCCTCTGACAGCCTCTCCTAAACCCAGAACCGTTCTGCCTGTAGGTGGTGCCACACGTTCACCAGTTTCTTTCAAAGTTCGCTGCAGCATGTTTTCTAAAATGACAAAGTGATCACCAAGTGACTTTTATGGATAGACTTTAACTGTAATTAAGAAAAATGATGACAAATCCTTCAGGAGTTTTTCTTTCTACATTTTAAAATACTGTCAAGTCACCGGTCTGTCCTGAAGAAGTCAGTGTTTGTGCAGTGCAAGATGAAATATGACTTTGTTCATCGTGCAAAATTCACAATATAAAATCTCCAGCAGCTTCTAAAAGGATGCAGTTAAATGTACCCAAAATGAGTCACAGATTATTATAATATGGACGTTAATTAATAAAATCAATCATTAATTCTCACTGGATCTCACATAGACGTATACAACAGTATACAACAGGACAACAGTAGAAATATTCCATACTTGCTGTGACACCCTGTGTAGTGGTTCCTTACATTTCATACTATGAGCTCCAATACTCCTGTCAGTAATTTTGCTAAGTCTTCTGACCTCCTGTGCTTCAGAAAGAATATTGTCTAGCGCTTCCTGTTTCTCTGTATTAATAATTCTTGCGTCACAAGTTCCAAAAAAAATGTTTACAAGATGTCAAGCAGTTTGCTTCGTCTCTGGTTTTTATTTATCTTTTTCCCCATCTCTGTCTGAGCTCTTTCTGAAGGTCATTGCCACGAGCTAATCCTGCTGTATGTGTCCTTCTTTTTCTCTCCAGACTTTGATGCAAACAACATCTTCAGGGCTTTCTTTGGTGGCCATGGTGGAGGATTTAGCTTCGATTCCAGTCCAGGTATGTTTGTCTCAGTTTCAGTGTACTTACATTTGTTGAAGAATCAATCCGAGAACATGCATCCCATTAACTGACTTCTCTTTTTTTTCCCCTTTTAGACAATGGGCCTGGTAATTTCTTTTTCCAGTTCGGTTAAAGCAAAGGAGCACGTGGGGAAATTGCAGCCTTGCAGAGGACAAAAGTTGGACCCACAGTCACTTCACGATGCTCATAATCCTGAGTGCAAAATCTCCCCGCTATTGTTTCTCAAGAGGTCTTTGATTATTGCATTCACTCCCAAATTTACTCCCTACATTGATGCTAACAGACACTGGGAAGGATAATTCAGAGGCTTTAGTTATGATTTAACATATTTAAGTACTTAAGAAGTCTTTTTGAAGAGATTTGGATCAGCTGATCAGAGCATGTCTCTTTTGCCAAAATTGACTTTACGATAAATAAAATCTTCTCTTGTAAAACTGCCTCGGCCATCATAAAAGGTGATCAGTAGTGAGGACGTGTAAAAGCACGATGGTTGGTTATTTTTTAGAGGACATAACAATGTATACATCTTTAAGGCTCCCCTAGGATGGCATATCTCCATAGAGCAAGAGTCAGTGTACTGTGGAAGTTCAATGTCAAAACTGACCTCAGGACAGCCTGTTTAGGACAGCGCTGTTCTCTTGCGAGTATGTGTCCAGGTTTTATTGGCTCACTTGCCAAATATAGTATCGACTTGCAGGGTTTTTCTTTCTTCTCCATGCTGCGTTGTATATTTGACTCGAATGTAAAGCATTATGTGTTCACACGTTTTTCTTCGGTCTTCCCTCAGTCCGTGTATATTTATTGTACTGAATATCCTAAAATGTATGCAGCAGAATGCCAGTGGTCTTTGTCTTCCTCCTTTTTTTAAGAGACTCATTTGTAAATGTTTTCCACGTCATCCAAAAAAAAAACTTTTTATGATACAGGCCAAAATCAGAATCCATCTACAGATTTTTTTTTCTTTTTCTGCTGTAAGCAATTTGACACTCGCTTTGACTAAACAAGCCACACATCTGCTCCATTCAAATTCATTCAAAAGTGGTGCCTTACCAGAAGCTTCTTCCAGTGAAACCTCCATCAGTCACTGCAGAGCAAGCCACATCCTATTTGAAAAAGGCAGCATTTACACTTGTATAGCATGTTTTTTTTTTTTGTTTCGTTTTGTTTTGTTTTTTGTGCTTTTCCATAGGAAGACATGTCATGTCCCCTAAAGTTCAATTTTTGCAACTGAGATCGTCATCATGTCTAACATGAAGGACTTCAATTTGGTTTCATGCCATCTGTCACGCCTAGCTGTCATCCTCCTATACTTGTCATGCACGTTCGGTCAGTACAGCCCTTCCCCTACTCGTTCCACCTGTTTACGGGGGCGTCGATAGCAGGGTGGAAGCTTCTGTTGTTGTTTGTTCTGTCACTGATCTGTGAATCATTTTTAAAACTTGTTACAGTATTGACAAGACGTGCTTTTTTTAAATTGTGAAAATAAAGGCTCGTCTTTTACTGTAGTGCTGGACTTTTTGTTTTCTTGCACTGTGTAATATTTGGGTTTAATTGCTTTTCTTTGGCTACTGAATAAACCAACAGCATATCCTGGAAGACGGTATGAATTAGCTCCACATCAAGTGGCAAAAATTAAGTTTTGCTTGTATGTAAAGGGATCAGTAGCCACGGGGCATACTTACTGATGAGTACTTTCTTATAATAACGTTGCTTTAAAGGTTGTAAATACCAGAATTGTACCAGTAGGTGCATTTAACTTGGTTTTAAAGGATGTGAATTCATATTTAACCACTGTTAACAGAATTTTATATGATCAGATTGACCTAGTTTACGTGTAACAGTTTAAAAAAAAAAAAAAAAAGGTTTTATTACCCAGTGTGGCGGTATCAGAATTGAGAAATCGCCCCGTCATTCGTGTCATTCTCCACCACTGGTTATTCTAATTTTGCCAGTTCACTTGATTTATTCTAAGTGGTCTCCTATAAAGCTGTGGGTGTGACTGACGCCACCACGTGACCCCGCCTCAGCCAATCAGCGAGCCGCACCGACGTGTAATCGGTCGCCAGATTATGGTGCGACAGGAGGAGAGTGAGGTGGCAGCGGCTGGCGGTAGCGGACTCCGGTACAAGAGCAACTGACTGCTTAGCCGTGTCACTTCTTTTTTTTCTTTTGGCCCAGGACACGATTCGTTTACTTCAAGAAGAAGTTGTTACTGTTTTTGCCAAGGTAACCATCTTGTCTTTATTAGTTTGCACGCCTACGTTAGTGCTCTTTTCGGTTAACTAGCTAGCAGCTGCCTGCACCGTGCTGAGGCTACAGCAGTTAGCCTGTCAGCCAGTCAGGACTTCAGGTTAGCGGATATGAGATGCGGTGAGGTTTGCGTGCCAAAACTGCACTTAGTGTCATCTTCCCAGACACTAAAAGATACAACCGTTGCCTAGCCTGTTTGGCTTAGCTGTTGGGTTGTAAAATAGAGAAACTAAAAAGAGTCAAATTAATCAAAAACGCAGGCTAACTTCACCTTACATCATCCACACGCCGCATCTTCCTCCTTTGGCAGTCTAGTTTTTTTTCCCCCTCCATGGAGGTTTTGCTACCCCTATTAGTTTCTCCCTTCAGGGGAGTAGTTCCTTATTTCCATACAGCCAGAAAAGCTAAAGTTACTGCTGCTAGGAAAGCTAGTTGAGGCTACAGTGTTTGGAGTGGGTGTGGTAGCTGGTACAGTGGCTTCATTCAGAAGTGTGATGCTAGCATGGCAGGAGTGATGCTAAAGCTGTCTGGAGCAGTGCCTCCCCTGTAGTGGCCCCTGTGATGCTACTGCCCCCCCACCAAATCCAGTTTTCTGAAGCTTAGGAGCCCGTACAGAAACACTAATTTCACGGCTAGGTAGCTTCAAACAATAGACTGGACTAGTGGATTATGTCAGGCTAAACACCGAGACATCTGTCTGTGAAGGCATGACAGGATAGCCTGCTAAGCTAAATCCCAGCCAGGTTAGTTATCACAGACATCCTATTGACTGCCTTTCTGTGTTGAAGTGCTACAGATGAAAAAAAAAAAAAGAAGCCACTGTGTCAAAGGCAGAAACAAAACCACCATAAAATGTTATCAGTCAGACGGTGGCAGAGGAGATAAGATGCATGTAATCAAGTCTCACTGCTTATCACTGCATGCTTGGTGGTGCTACATGTACTGCAGCAGTTTGGGGTGCTTTATACATTGCTTTCCGGTCATTAGAGTATCTTACCTGTCTTCAAATTAGAGATGTAAACTTTAGGCACCAGGCCAAAAGAAACTTCACCCTATGGAGGAGTGTTTGTGTTAGTTGAGGCACAGTTGGATGAGCAGGTCTGGCAACATACTGTGATGATTTGAACAGGAATATCAAGGCCATCAGTGCAACTTGTCGCCTTTGTTTAGACTCACTTCATCCATCACATCCTTGTTATGAGATTCCCAAACACTTTAGATTGCTAACTTTCAAAGCTTTGTTTATGTTAGATTATTTCTTTTGGTATTATGCAGCAGCGGAGTGTCTTGTCTACTTTGTCGATCATAATCGGTGTTTGTTTCAGATTGAATTTATCTGTTAAAGCGAGTGTGAGTGTAAATCCAGTTTTACAAATCCTTTGCCAAAAAATGTCAAAAAATCATGAAAAATGCCCATTACATTGTACGCCCATGCACAACAACATATAACAGATCTATACATTTGAGAACCTTAAATCAGAATTGGAGAACATCTCCTGCAGTTGATCAATCAGCTATTAGAATATCGGCTTAATCATCTTTATCGATTGACTAATCCTTTAGGCTCCAGTAGCATCTTTAATCCGGAGACTAAGTCTTTTCTGGTCTGTTTGTATTCCCAAATGTTAGACAAAGGCTGGATTGTTGATTCAAGGAGGGAGTAGAGTTAACCATGCACACAGTTATTTATTGATTTGATGTGCAAGCATGTGATTGTCTGAGCGTTTTAACTGGTGTTGTGCCTCCAATTCAAGCGTAGACATATTCTGTAATTTTCAGTTTGTGCTATCTACAGCTTAACTGGTAAATGTAACTGACAATGGAGATGATTTTAAATGATTTGTTTACAGCTTCAGCTTTTTACTGTCAGAACAAAATGTCTCTGAGATGTTCTCAGTCACACACTAGAACCTTAAAGTGAAGTAGTAATTATGTTTAATCTGTGCTTCTTCTAGTTGTAAGCTTATTTTGGCCAGCCTGAATGGAGAAATAACATCAGACGATTGTGTATGTGTTTGTGCACACCACCGGCAAAGTGACCACAGAGCAACTTTCTTTTGTTTGAAAATGCAGTTGTTGTTGTTGTTGTTGTTTTAGCCTGCACAAACACTCACGGTTTAATCATTCAAACGTTGAAGTTCTGCTTGAGAAACTCATCTTTGGATTTGTCTGTTTGGATTCTCAACATGCCCATGTGAGAACCACTGCATGCAAAGGCGGCATAGCATCACCTCTAACCAAGACAACTATCATTGACTGTATATTTTAGGAGTTGCCCTCAATGCCTGTTGAGTGTCTTGGAAAAAATACATTCAGCATGTAGGTCCTGTAGTAGATAGGAAATACTTTTATAGTTTGTGAGAGTTGGTGGACTGTTGTCGTGGAAATCCTAGTGTGGATATGCTGACAAGGCTCCAAATGCTTTAAAATTCAGTAAATACATTAAATTACACATAATCACCATCTTGGTATAAAATCAGAATTGCCTTGACCTGTAGTTTGTAGCTGCTCAGATGCTTCTGTGCTTAGTTTTTATTGGTTGTGTCTATCAGTATATCCATATGATGATGATGATGCAGTGACTCGGTGAAATTAGCTTGTGGCCTTCTCCTCCCAGGTCCTGTGCTGTCCAGCGCTGCCATGTCGGCGAAAGCCATCTCAGAGCAGACAGGAAAGGAGTTCTTGTATAAGTATATCTGCACCTCTGCAGCTGTGCAGAACCGCTTTCGCTATGCTACGGTAACTGCAGAGACCGACTGGGACCGCCTCACACAGGAGCATCCATGGCTGCTGACGGAGGTAAGACTGCTGTGACTGGCTCAGTACAACCGCAAGAGCTTTCTGCTAGCCTGTTTTCATGTTTGTGCTTACTCCCCTACTAAATATGGATTAAAATCACGAGATTAATTACATAGTTTACATCACGGACTCTCTGTGTACATAACTTGCAGCACGTTATGTCTTTACCGTTACGGAAGCATGTGACTCTGTGTGTAGATGCACTGACTGTGACCAGGTCTCAGTTTGATTCATCACGCTAGTATTTATACGGATCCGTGGCTTTTTCCTGTAGTATCTGTCTGACGTTTTTGTCCTTGCTCCACGCGTAGCGGCTGGTGGTGAAGCCAGATCAACTGATCAAGCGGCGTGGGAAGCTCGGGCTGGTGGGCATCAACCTGGACCTGCAGGGTGTCCAGGAGTGGCTCCGAGCCCGTCTCATGAAAGAGACTACTGTGAGTTGACTGTGCTTTATATGCTTTAGTTATCACTTTGCAGAAAACTTGAAATTGAAGCTTTATGAGAAACCAAAAACATGTCACAGTGATTTCTATTACTATAAAATAGAACAATGCTATAGTGAAGGATTTAACTTTAAAGTTATTGTTCGTTGTAGCAATTGACGAATAAAACATTAGAAGTATGTTGCTCATGTCAGAAAGTCCTCAACCAGAAATATGTGTCTGGATTTACAACTCTTTAGTGGACTGACCCTGTTTTTTTTTTTTGCTTCACTGATGCTAATGTCTCTGTTTTTAAATGAATGTCTTACATTTATCCACGAGGATCCCATATTGGTCTGAATGTGGATTTTCTGGTTGTCATATACACAAAGAACTCAGTCTTTTCAGCAGAACTAATTATTCTGTGTCCATGTATGTGTCTTCTTAAACACATACCCAAGTTTTCTTTTGGTGTTATTTGGTTGTTTATCTGTGGATTTGTTGCTTTAACTTTGAAATCCATTTGATATGCACCTTTACTGTCCCCTAATGATGAAAAGCTGTATTATCCCCCCCATGATGCGGACTTCACAGCAGAAGTAATATTAATAGCACATGTGGTTCAACAAAGAAAACGTATTCAGTTAACGAGAAACCAGTGTATCTTTAATAGCAAACGACCCTTTCTCATCAAGTTCTGATTGATAAAGTCATACAGGTAGATAATAATGCGGCTAAAGAGCCAAACTCTTGCACTACATCCCATGAGCGCCATGTTGCATTTCACTCAGCATATGAAGAGAATGTTTGCTCCATTAGTCCCAACCTATAGATCTGTTATGGTGTCCAGTGCCAGAGGCCACGGGCTTATGTTTAGATTTGACGGGTCAGAGGGTGGTCTATTCTGGTCCACTATACACACACAGACACGCTGCCTTTCAAGCAGGCAGTCGCCGTACTTCCAGTGCATGAAAAAGAAAAAATCTTCCTCCAGCCGCAACATCACTAGTTTCTTGTTATTTGCACTTTGATAT